CCCTTCTGCTGTTTCTTTTGTTTTTTTAATGTTTTATTTGAAATTATAATTCTAAAGACCAAAACTAAAAACATCCATCATCAAAAACATCAGGCCCGCTGGGTCAGCCCCCACACCCTTCTTTTTACATTTGTGATAACTTAAAAACATATTTAAATCTATGCGAAGTCCCGTTTCGCTAGCCAATAATAAAAAGAGTCCCAAGTTTGGTAGAAGTCAGTATCTTCCTTCTCCTTCAGTGATAAATTCAATCTATCCATTTCTGCACAGTCCAAGATCTTTTTTAGAATCCGTTCGTCGGTGGGTGGCTCTTCACTCTTCCAGTGTTGAGCAACCTTCTGCTGTTTCTTTACATCAACTTTGATATAGGAATACATCTAAATGGGGAGGGCAGCCTCTGCACTGCCATTTCGGTGCAGGCCATGCTAAAGTCCCCGCTTGACTTCCTGTGCCTTTCACACCCCTCAAAGGAGGAGCCAGGCTCAGAAGAGGCTTGTAGGAGGCAGCTCATGCAACTCCCAGCTGAGTCTTTCCCATGCTGCTGGTATCCTTACAGGGGTGTTTGAGGTGTGGGAAGGAGCAGTCTGACTCCGCTAGGCTTCTGTGGACCAAACAGAGCTACTTCCATAGACCATGCTTCAAGGTTGACATGTTTCCACTAGTAATAGGTATAATTAACCAAGTTTTGGGGAGTAGGATGACACAGCAGGCTAGTGTATTTAAAAGTGAAATAAAACCTTCCCGGTGTCCTTCAGCTGCAGTCCAGAGGAACTTTAGTCTCAGACCCCAGTTCTGCCTTGCAGGAAGATGGCGTAGAGGTAGCTCCAGCCATGGGAAACAAAGGCCCAAGAAACCAGTTTTCCCATGCCTCCCAGTGCCTAGCACACAGTGAAGGGGTGAGGCGCTGGAGGCAAACGAGGGCTTTCTCCATGACTGGAAGACTTGACCTTGGTGGAGGACCTGCATCTTGGTCAGAGGGAATCACTCCCAGGACGAGGGCAGCAGGAAGAGCTCCGGGCTGGAGGAAGTGCTCCATGGTGCCGCCTCTGATCCATCCTCAGACAAAGGGCAAAAGCAGCCATCAAGTGCAGCTCTCGTTCGAAAGCCAGGTTTACCAGCCAAGATCACGCATCTGACAGCGATCCATAGCAGCCTTCCTCTAGGCCTCCAGAAATCAGTGCACCAGCAACCTGGAAAGCTGTCCATCTTCCGTGCAGCTGTGAACCTGGGACCTTCTCCGTTGACTGTGCTTGGAGTGTTTGCCTTATGACTTTCCTGACATATTTTATCATCTAGAACTCGGTCAGAATGTGTTTCTGTGGATCTTTATAAATGCAATAAAGGCCAATAGCCAATTACTAGAATTGCTGCAGTAATAGGTTTTATTAGGACTCTTGCTCAATGTCTGGAAGCACATTCTGCCAGAAACTGTGGTTTTCTGCAGCTTGCTCTTACCCAAAACCATAGTTTAATGTGATGTTGGAATATATTTTAGCAGTGTAAAATTGGAGCCTGTACCTCTGTAATTTTTGGAGACTGCAAAAAATGTTGCTTATGAAAAATTAATTTTAAAGGGAAAAAAGTGGTGCCTACCACTTCAGGATAATAACCACAGCAACCTAAATAGGAAACTTACTGGGAAATTGGATTCTACATTCCTTACAATGAATTATTCTTCATTCATTCAAAAATCAACACAGTGAAGTAAAACCTCAGGCTTGCTTGGTATTTTTCTTTATCGCTTGCAGTTTTCACAAGACCCCAGCTGGTTTGCCCTGACTTGATTTCTCATCCAACCAGAATGCCATCCCGTTCCAGCTGGCCCTATGAATGCGGTTGAAAAATGGAAATGGCATCATTTGGGAAGGAGAAATACGGAATCTTCATCCCTCGGGAACAGTGGAGGGAGGGGGAGGAAGATGATTTCTCCAGGATCCCTGTTCATCCTTCTGAAGGGAGAAACTGCCATCCACACAGTGCCTGTTTCTAAGAATGCCAGTACACTTCTTTGTGCATTAAGCGGCTAGGCATCGCTATGCAACATTTACACATGGGTCTGACTTGAAATGTTTGAGATGGGAAAAAAGTTGAAAGCCGCAGTATAAAATTTATGACTGGCCAAAACTTGGAAGCAAGTAATGTCGATTTCAAATGAAACTTGGCTTTCAAGAAAGCAGATTTCAGAGCGCAGCCAACTTGACTAATGTCCCTAATTCCTGTACTTAATTAAAAGACTATCTTATGGTCATTGATAAAAACAGCTCTGTAGCACATGTATGTGGCGAACGTTTTTGTGTGTATGATGATATTGTGCCCTAGGTTTCCCTCCCGGAGTGCTGCTGCTCCTCTTCTCACTTGAAAAGTTGTTATTGACCAGAATTGTCTTATATTTAACCACAGAAATGAAAATCACTTGCATTCTGTGCCAGCGATCCAATAATATTAACGTCCGCTGCTGGCAGTATGACACAGACTGTGCTACTTCCTGGCGTCTCCTCTTTAGCCATGAGATAAGCAAAACAAAAGTTCTAGTCTGTGAAAATCTCTTCCAGACAGAATGCTGCATAAATTTAATCACTCTTTTTGGGAGATGATGGCTAAGGCCATTTTGGCAAAGTTGTTTTTGTGTGGATACTGTTGTTACTCAGTGTGCTAGACTCTTCCTAGCTAAAACAGTGTGGGATATTAATGGGTAGAAATCAGCTACAACAAGGCATTTCTTTTTCATGCAATTTTTGAGGTGCTATCATTGAAACTCATCTGAGGCTTAATGCTAATATTACGAGCCAGCAAAGTTAATAAAGTCTTAAATCCCACATTTCAAGGAAGAAGTTAAACAGATAAGTCACATTCTTCTGTTGAAATAACATGGAGCTTAAAAGTGCTTAATTTTCACTGGACTGTATCATTTTTTGATATTTTAGTTAAATATAATCAACCAGAAATAGAATTCAAGGTCTAAATGAAAGCAGCAAAAGGTTAATGGGCACCTTTTGACTAAACTGTGTGATCTGCTATTTTATAAGCTGGTTAGTTATAAAATACACAATTTGAACTTGTCTTTATTTCCACGCCCCCCCAGCGCAAAAAAACCAAACCAAACCATTAGGTTTATTTGTTTAACCTTACAGTTCTTCATGCGGTTGTTATAGCATTGTGATATCTCTTGGGTTAAATTGGCTTTACTCTGATCCGGTGTATGCAATCCATCCCCACATTACCCTAGAACAGCTTTACGATGAAGTTCACAAAAGTTAATAGGGAGCAGCCACTTTTACTAGATTACCTACCCAAACGTAGCTGCGGTACCAAGGAATCACAAATGGTATATACAGAAGCCCTGAATGGACACGCCGCTGTTTGTAAGCCCTACATTTCCCAAAATTTCAACACCGGGCTGGAATTAGAATGGTGGGCGATTTAAGAAATGGAGCATGGAGGTCTGCTATCCTCTAAATGAGCTCTATCCTAGAAAGAGTTTGCTTTATTTTCTGACAGCGTGTAGAAAACTCTGCAGCTAGAAAGCAGGTTCAAAGTTTTTCCAGAAAGTGATGGTGCCCCCCTCCCCCCAAAAAAATCTGTAGCTCATGGGTTTGTTCCAGCGGCCCCCAGCATTTGGCATGAAAGCTGCTGATAGAGAAGATGGCAGCATCTTTGGTTCCTCCTCCTCCTCCTGTGCAAAAGGGCTCTTCCCAAAGAGTGTTCTCTTTTCAAGTAGGGACCAGTGTAGAATGCAGAGGGGAGGGGGCACTAACAATCCACCCACAAATCAGGCAGGACCACTGTGTGGAATCCACAAGAAGGACAACTGGAGCAGACGACCTTGGGTTTCCTAGCAATTGTTCCTGTCTATGTGAAGGCGGACAGAATACTGTACCATCTGTAGAAAACTGTTTAATATGCCTGTGAAGGTGACTCAGCAGAGAGCTAGTCTGTTGTTGCGTTTTCCTTCAATATGTATTGATGTTTATGAGGTGGAAAAGCCGTTTTCAACCCATTGTGGAAAGGTCTTCCACAATCTTCCGTGTCTTCACATTACTGTAAAAGGGTAATGTGAAGACATGGATAGCTACTCTGTTAGCAGATCCATGGCATCCTGAGCCTGTTCTGGACTACTGCCGTTACATTGCCCCTTTGGCTTGCTGGTGGAATTCCAGAGGAAATTCCAGGATGTAATGGGCCATCCACGTTCATGCTGTGTGCAGACACGGGAAACCACATCTGTGTTTGAAACGGAAGCATGCAAATCTAGCCAAACTGTGTTTACTTCAGCATGTTTCTGAATCTGCTGCCTCTTTTCTCTCTCAGGCTTTTTTTGCTCATGTGTAAATAACATCCGTCCCCCTCCTCTCGTTGTTTTCTTCCACATAAAAACCCAATCGCTGTCATTTGGTTGTAAGGCAAATCATTAAGCATAAATATGTCAGAGCGCAGCTGAAGGACAGAAGGTCGCACACAGCAGTTCTGCTCAGCCTGAATCTAGTAGCCTGAGGTGTCTTGAGGCTCCCATCTAGAACAGAAATGTGAACTTCCCTTTTCTAGACATGACTGCAAAATGGGATCTGTTTTACTCAAACCCCATAACGGATTGATAACGAGGCATTGAAAATAGCCGTTTGGGATCTACCAGGGGCTTTATGTCTGGTGGCAATAAATGCTTAGTAAATGGCATGAATGTTTTGTTTTATTTTGTTTTGTTTTTGGCTTTTAAGACAGTTGGAAGAACCTGTTTCAGGAGAAATGCTGGCTAAGTGCTGGGAGTTGGTATTTCAACTGGCCTTCTGGTTGTGGGCCTCCGAGTACTGACGTGTCACATACGTGTCTCCCCCACGCCTTTGGTTTATCATTCACTTGCTTCTGTCCTAGAATAGTTGCTGTGTGTTCCCATAGAACGCTAGTCCCCTTTTCCCCCAGAGAGTAAACAGGAGTTTCGCATAAGCTCAGTGAATGAATTGCAGCCTAACTTGCCCGTGTTACCTGTGTTTCTCATTTTTCCTCAGTGAAGCTGTGGTCAACCAACCTGGACAACTCAGTAGCAAGCATCGAAGCCAAGGCAAATGTGTGTTGCGTGAAATTCAGCCCATCATCTAGGTACCACCTGGCCTTTGGTTGTGCAGGTAGGCACTTTTGTGTTTACTCTCAGCAAAACAAGATGAAAGGATTTCAGAGCCCCTTGCGTATCAACACTTTATATGTTGGCTGTGAAGTATTACATTTGGGCAGTTTGCCTAACTGAAGACAACTATTGCCCAGCTTTGATCAGTGGGGCAGATTGTGTAGGGCTTTGTATTTCCTCCTCCCACTGGTCAGAGGATATGTCTGGGATGGCACAACTTCTTGATTTGAATTTAACCAGCGGGAGGAATTCCCTGTCCTCTCAGATACACCAGCGAGAGTTTTGCAGAGTTCCTTGGCTTAACTAGATGGCATTACTTGTTTGAGCTTTTCCCTCCCCTAGTAAGGGATAGACTTTGAGAACACCCAAAAATTTAGGTTTTGACACCTTCAAGATACTACCCCCTATCTTGTTGCCCCTTCTTGAGACCTTCTGGCACTGGGTTGAGACATTAGAGAGGCAGTGGCTACAGACCTGCAGTTGTGACCAGATTTACCATGCCTTTTCTGCATCTCAGATTGCAAAGGACAACCCCCCCCCCACCCGCTCCGTAGATCACTGATGAAAACCCTCTTCCTCAATAGCTGGCAGCAGGAGCTTGAGACCACTGCTGAAACAGTGCTTCTTTGAATTTACTTCCCAGTGGCTGACAGAGCCTAGAAAAAGAAGCCACATCCAGCCAACAGCTTCCCTCAGTAAGAGAACCTGTGCAAATTATTCCAGTGATTGGGTGTTGCACAAAATGTTGTGCAAGAAAGAAGCAGGCACCCTCAAAGAGGCAGGCTCCTGACCTGATAGAGAAAGCATGCTAGTTCACCTCAGAAATACTAGCAGGGTTAGTATCAGAGCTGTAAGTGCTTGCAGGATTGGGCCAGTCCCATCATGCAGACTTGCTGGGAACCACAGGAGACCATATAGAAGGCTCCCCAACCCTACTCAGCTTTGCCATAACAGCACGAATCTTTGCGATGCTTTGTGTCCCTGACCTGACTCCTGCTTCCAGGGCTGCGGCATTTTCATCCATGTCTTAACTCCTGCCTGTTTCTGACTTGGCCTCTGGCCCTGCCATGCCTCTGCCAATACCTGATTCTCACCTGTTCCTGCCTTTGCCTCCAGTCCTGCCACACCTTGTTGGCCTCTAGCCCCTGCCTGCTTCTGACACTTCTTTCACCTCTGGCACTACTGCATCTTCCAAGAGTCTGACCTTTGCCGGAGTAAGCCTCAGTTCTCCCTCTGCCTCTGTTATCCTTGGCTCCAGAGTTCCAGCTGAGGACATCTGCTGCTTATATCTTGGAGCTGACATCTGGTTGCAGCCAAAATCTGTGCCCCAACCAGGGAGCAGAATAGATGCAAGATTGTAAAACATTCTGCATACATTGTCAGCCCAGGTATCTCTCTGTCAGCTGAGGATCGCTCCTTGCGTGCAGATTCTGCAGGATGATTTTTCATTGGCTTCATTCATTTTAGTAGCATGTGCTGATAGTCTAATACTTTCAGATTTGTTCTGAGTCATATTTTTACCTGTTTGAGTAGAAAAATGGGAGAGGAAAAGCTTGAATAAATGAAGCCTGATCTGTACAAAACACAGCCAGCTCTTTCACTGTATTTATTGTGACAAGAAGTGGCCTTGTAATGCTTTGTACCACCTTTGGTCTAAACGAGGCACAGTCTGGGAAAGAATAAAGGAACAGCAGATCCTCCTCCTTGCTGTAGTCCATGCCTCCCGAGGGAGAGCAGCCTTACAGGCCTGACCTTTACAGTTTTTCACAGTCAGTAGCATCAGTGATAGAAATGAGCACTGGATCAAGTCTGTGTGTGAATACCTACGTGTTACGTCTCAGTTGTAAATTAAGTCAAAACATCACAGGGAAACGTCAGCGTAAACCTTGCTAGATTCTCATTCTCATCCTTTTTACTTGTTCCCCTTTCCAAACAAAGAGGGGAAAGGGGCATAATGGAAATTTAGAACAGTAGGAGAGCGATACGTAGCACTGAAGGACATTTTCAGCAATTTTTTCTGACACCAACTCTTGGGGGAGCAGTGTGGGTGAATTTTAGTTTCAATTTGCATCGCTTCATTTGTGAAGTTGTGCAGTTTTCTGGGTTAACTTTCTAAAACACTAGAGGCTTCTTTGTGAGTATAAGAAGGCACATTTCCTTCTTGAAAACTATGCAGCATGTATATCATATCAGTAAAAGGATTGGATTTGAAGGATAGGTTCCTGAGTAGGAGCCAGACAAAAAATCTTTTGGCACTGTCACTTTCAATTAGGGCTGTCAACAGCTGCTGTTTCTGTCTGATTAAAATGTGCTGGCTATACTGTTCTTTCTGTCATAATTAATATTCATATCCTTTTAGCATGGAGAATTCCAGCTTTTCTTTCATAATGGGCTCCTGTTCTGCCCCAGTTGGTGACAAGATGAAAGAGTAACAGTGATTTTAATGGCAGCTGTTCAGAAAGTATCACAGTAGCTGGATAGGCATGCATAGAGATTCAGAAGAGTGAGCCGGGCCCGCTTTGCGGTGGCCAAGCTCAGCACACATCCAGAAGATTTCTTCTTCTCATCGCAGAAAGCAGAAAAGCCACCGTTGCGCTTGGAGCTCTGATCTACTCGGGTATCTGTGCATGCTGTATGCTCGGCATCTGGGCTGGTCTAAATTTGTTTCCTGCCACAGAATGCCTGGGCCAAAATACCGAACACGTCCGGTATCGTAGCACTTCGGTTAGATGCAGAGGAGGTTTGCGTACGAACCGCAGTGAACTGAGCAAAGCCATCACAAAGATGAATGTGTGCTTTTCCCCCTTTCAGATCCATTGCCAGGGCAAATTGGGATGTGGGAGCTAGCTAGATGAGGCAAAAGTCAAGTGCACACAGACAAACTGGGATTCTGGGAGAACTGAGACAGAGCAGGACAATTGCAGCAGAAGAGGAAGAAGGCAAAATCGAGCTTTCCAGCCTGGGAGCTGTCTGTATAAATGAGCTGTTGAGCAGCTTGTGAGTGCCTTTCCCTTATTTCTTTGGAAGGGACCACTGGGAGGAGGTTGAAGTCAGAATAGCAGGAAAACTGCAGTGTTTTCAGTTGCGTGTGCATTCCAAGGATATGATTGAAGAGCAGTTCCTGAGAGACAAGAATATGTCAAAGTGTAGCCCTGGCTTACCGTGACCTAGTTATTTTCTGAGTTGATTCATATATGTCAGGGCCAGAACAATTTGAAATGTTAAGTGGAGGTTCATAGGACTGATACACAGAAGTGCGGATGTCAGGGGAAGGGTTCTGGTTTTCCACATGCCGGCGAGTAGAGTGTAGAAACCCTTTGATGCCGTCCTGTTGCCTAACATAGTTAGTGTCCTGACCCAGGCTTCCTACATTGAGAAGAACGAGCCAAAATGAAAATAAGCATTCTCCCCCATCAGACCACAAGCCTGTTTAGTTCAGCTTCCTACTTCCACTGTGATTAAACAGGGTTGTGTAGGAAACGCACAAGCAGGGCACGAGCACAATGGAACCACTCATTTGTATTCCTCAGAAACCTTTCTTCAAAGGCATTGCTTCCTCTGGTCCTAGAGGTAATATATGACCGTCCTGATTAATAGCCACTGATAATCTTATCCATCATGAGTTTGTCCACTTGAAGCTGTCCAAGTTGGGGACTATCTCTTAACTTTTTTGTAAGCTTAAGAGGACCTAAATCTAAATATGACATGAGTTTTCACAGGGGAGTTTGCCCAGTCACTTGATTTATTCAGCCACTCATTTCTGCAGACTTTCCAGCTCAACTGTAGGCTTTTCCAAGTGCAGTGACCAGAAATATGTTCCCAGTATGGGTGCAACATGGATTTGTATTAAGTGATGTAAGAACAGGGGTGGGCAAATTGTGGCTCTCTGGAATGCTTGGTTTACACATCCCATGATCCTTCACCATTAGCTGTGACCAATGAACGTTGCAGGCCAAGTGGTACATTTCCCACCCTGCTCTTGTCGCTATTATTTGGCTCAGCTTTTCAGACTTCCTGGTATTATCAGTTCAGGTTGGGTTTCTGCCCAACATCATCTGCAGTGAAGACAGATCCAGAGGATTGATTCTGCTTTTCTGTAATTTTTTAAAATTTTATTTTAACAAAAGCAAAACTCATACTTTACAAACATATAAACAATGCACATAATGTAATGATAAACATAATTAAGGAATACAATAACAACAGTGCTACCTCCTCCAGAACCAACAGATACATGTACTCCATGTAGTCATCTATTCATTCAGGTTGCTACACTGCCGCTCCCCTTCCAGAACTGCACTGATGGCCCACAATCTTCTGAGCCTCTTTAGTACACTTTTTAGCTCCCTTGCAGTCTGGTAGACCAGTTTCCTCCCTGACAGGTTTCCTTTTTCTGATGTACTCAGGTATGTTTTCTTGTTGATTTTAATGACCCTCAAGAGACTGACGTGCCCCTCAGGAATGCCTGAAATTGACGTGCAACCTGCATGTTCAGTTTAGTTCAATGGACCTTCCATTGGCATTTCTACTTAAGACTGAAGACTTGAATTCTTCGGAGCCCCAAAGAGGTTCGCCTGGTGTCTTTTCAGCACCAGGCAAAAACCTTTTTATCTGCCCATTATTTTAATGTTTAATTATTTTAATTAGGTTTTAACATTGTCATGCTCAGTATTGTACTTTGTTGTGATGTATTTATTGTTGTAAGCCATCCTGGGATGTCTCATAAAGGATGGGGTATAAATATTGTTAATAAATTAAATAAATAAATGCATTCACAGTACCTTTAATTAGGCTAACTATTGCTGCAATCAAGTGAAAACAGGAAGTATTTAGTTGTCCCTTTATTGGATGAGAGGCCAGTGGATATGTTTGGGATAACTTCTTTTTTTTACCATTTGTGCAAACTGAACCTCAGACAACGTCATTGCAGGTATTGATATGTAAATAATGGTATGAAAAAGGAGAAAGCTGCTTCATAGCGCAAGGCTGGGAAAATCTATT